TTCTCTAAGCATTTTCTCTACTTTCTAACCTTCTCTAAGCTTTTTCTCTTCTTCAATGCTTGGTAGTCCTGAGGGACCAAATAGTACACATGGTCTGCCGTGGTGCCTCAACCAAACCTACAAGTTTTTTGGTTGGGTGAAGCACCCAAAACTTCCAAAATTATTCTCCTCTTCAAAACCAATATCCATTCGTAAGAAATAACGAAACTTACTTGGTGCTCTTACAATGCTTCGTCTCCAATATCTGCAGATATTTGAAAAGGATGCTTTTTACCTTCTCTTAGGCTTTTTCTCTTCTTTCTAACCTTCTCTAAGCTTTGTTTTCTAACCTTCTCGAACCTTTTATGTACTTTCTAACCTTCTCTAAGCTATTTCTCTTCTTTCTAACCTTCTCTAAGCTTTGTTTTCTAACCTTCTCGAACCTTTTATGTACTTTCTAACCTTCTCTAAGCTATTTCTCTGCTTCTCTTTCTATAACCTTTTTGACCTTTTCTCTTAGCATCCTTTCTCTTTTCAACCTCCTCTAGCTCCCTCGATTGCCTCCTTTTCTTTATCCCTTTCTTTCTCGACTCCTATTCGGGGTGGTCTGCAGTGACTGGATCTCCCTCTGCTTCCTTAACAGCATCTTTATTTGTTTCCACAATGGCACTTTCACCTGATTATCCCTCCCTTTACCCCTTTTCTCACCCACTTCTCCTTGCCCCATGTTTAAACCATGCTTTTGGTTGCGGGTTGCGGGTTGCGGGTTGAGCGTAGACTTGGTTGTGTCGCTTCCAGTGCACACTTGTGAGGTGTTTGCAGAATAGATGACTTTTATAGTAGTGTCTTTGTTAGCAGATTGGGTTGGGAAGAAGGGTCATTGTGGAGGACGTCTTTGGAAGTTGTCTTGTGTGGCTCAGTTGGGGTTTCGTGGCAGTTTGTGGTGTAGGATCCTTGAGGTTGGGGTTATGTTGTATCTGGAAGCCATGGCTGATTATCCCTGGAAGTAGCGAGTACATCTATTTCTCTATTACTTCCTCTTTTGTATTTTTGAAGTTAGCTCCAATAATTTTAATTACCATTTCGAAAAAAGAAGGATTCTTTTTTTGGAGCACCAAATTAACAACTTTGTAAAATAAAAAAAATTTGTTCATGAAGAATGATTTGGAAGAATCATAGCTTTTTTGAGTCCCTTCCCCAACCTAATTTCTCTAAAATTCACATTGAGCATTGAAATGGGAATAATATTCGGAAAAATACTCAGTGCATTGAGAGATGGAGAGGGAAGGAATTTTCTCCCAGAAGAACATAGTATTTTGCAAAAGGGTTTTGTAAAATAGAGAGGTAGAAGAACCAACATCTTGTCACAATTTGATGCGGCATTAAATGAATTGCGCAATAAATTTTGATATATCGAACTTTATTTCCAATAAATATTGATATACAAATCTTATAATTGGTAAAGTAGTTTAGATAAAATTTGTTGTTTCTGTTTTGGGATAATCAAATAAAAGGTTATCTTATAAATAAGTTTTTAGAGAGAGCGCATCCCGTGATAAAGACTATAAGGAACATTGAAATGCGTTATGCTTCTCCTTAAAAGGTTCTTTTTTGTTTCTGAAATGCTAACTTATATCTTTTCTATTAACTGTATCGAATTTAAAACTCTCCAACCTATGAACACAATCTAACAGCATTAATACTCTCGTTAAAATAATGCTCAAATTCATCAACTTTCAAAATTGGTTTGGAGACTCCATCTTTCCCCAATGCAGCTGCTTCCATGTTTGATTTTCTATTTACATTGACAGGTTGTGCCTCTCTATTCCTCAATGTATCTTCAATTTCATAAAACTCCTGATCTGAAACCCTTTTTTCTTACCAGAATACTTAATTTTATTAACTGAATAATCCCATTAAAAACATATAAAAAATTAAAACAGCAAAGGAGAGACCACTAAAGAATCTAAGATAATTATTGGCCAGATCTATCAATTATAGAATTTGTCTCTCTATATACATGATTGAGGCTAAGCGAAAATTCAGTCAAAAAGTCTATAACCTACAAGCAAATGTATCTGACGCGCCATAGAGGTCTCGAAGTCGTGTTACACTAATTAATAGTATTCAAGGAATCACCTTCGACAACCAATAAATTACCTAAATTCTTCTCCTTCCAAAATAGAGATCCCTTGACACAACACTAACATTTCAGCATGATTAGCAGCAACCACACTACAAGAAGCAGCATAGCAACGATCGGCATACGCCCTCCCTGGGCTCCCAAAAGATGATCTGTCAAAATTAAGCTTAAAGTACCCTCTAGTAGGCGGTATCTATATACATTTTGGTCTCACCTTTAGACAATGAAGAAGCAGGTGACTGCCATTTTCTTCCAACATTTTTACAAAAAAGACAAACAGTGACCAAAATTTTGCCTCTCTTTCTTAAATCATCAACGGTTTCCTGATGTGAAACCCAAAGTGATATTTGCCCACCTTTGCCCCAATTTATAGTATTCAAGGAATTCCCTTTGATTTGCATCCTAAACTAATAAATTGGAAGCAATTTGAGAATTGAAAATCGTGGTTTAACCTCGCAACACTGGCTGAAAGGTACCAAGTGGCCCTAAGAATGTCAAGAGAAAGACTACATTGTGATCTTTACTAGTTCCTCCACCTCATGCAAGTCAGGCTTGCCTAATGAATGACCCATCAAAGTTCAATTTGAGTATACCTGTAGGTGATGGTGCCCATCTGCCTAGACCCATCAAAGTTCAATTTGAGTATACCTTTAGGTGATGGTACCCATCTGCCTAGACCCATCAAAGTTCAATTTGAGTATACCTTTAGGTGATGGTACCCATCCGCCTACTCTCTTGTCCATACCTTCATTTTTTATGACTTCCCAAAACTGTTAAGTATGTCATTTCTCAAGTTTCCTTGGCAACCCTTGATTACAAACCCACTCTGTTGTGATGCCCAAATCTTCTCTTTGACAGATTGGGTACTTTTCATCTCCCCATCAAAAGTTTTTTGGTTACTGTTCATTCTAAATGCTGTAGCATATATCTGCCAACAATAGGCACCACAGTGCATAGCTAGCTTTGCCAAAGGGGAAAATTAAGCCTCGTTCAAATAAGCCAATGATCGATTTAGGACGTTATGCTGAGGCTTTTGCCCCCTAACCATCGATACCCCAAACGCATCACCCTAAACTCTCACTCTTGGTAGGGTCCTATTTGTTATTAAATGCCATGTCTCTACCCAATTGTACAATTGTGGCGTAGTAATGTAGAGATACAATAGGGTAACAATGAATTGATCCTTCATTGAAAAACAACACTAAACAAAATTCAAAACAAAAAATAGAAGTAACAAAATCCACACCTTTGAGGCGTGGGAAAGGCAGTGTGAGTCTCAGCATCGACGTTGGCATGTAAGACTGGATTAAGGTCTTTGGTTATGTTCATGTTGAGTTCTAGGGTTATCCAAAGTATTAAATGCCCTCTGGGTTAAAGAATACTATGTCCCTTGCTCTCTCCTCTCCCAATTGAGGAGTCCCTTTTATTAGGTGCCTCACAAGGCAGTTATCAATTTTGGATCAGAAAAATCCATCCATTGCTCCAAAAAATACATGCAAATGAGCCTATACATGTATAGTTATGGTTGATATTAAAATGATTTTGAGACATGATGATTTCATATCAATATACTAGCTTGAAGGTGGATTATATTATAAGAAATATATTTTATAAAGCTCTTGCACATCAACATCATGGGAGAAGGAACCTTTGAATAACAACCATTATAACTAACAAGTTTCTTTAATGAAAGCAACTTCAATTCAAAAAGATGTCCTCCTTGAAAAGTAGGCTTTATGGATAGGGACAGGAGTAAGCAAATCCAAAGAGCTTTGAACTTCTTTGAATGGAATATGCCTTGACTGCCTTTCAATGGTATCTGTCTTGCCACCCCAATCAATCATTTTTCTCCACCATCTCTTATCTTCAATGCTTTTCTCATGCACCTCATTTCATTTGTGAAGTTAGACTCGTATTATACTTGCATATATGTATATATACTATTTTAATGTTGGGGATCAATGGAACTGTAAAATTCGATACTATTCAATGAAAGTGATCCATAAAATCTCACACACTTCATGTCATGTGTTAAAAATCTCCTCAACAAATAACTGAAGAGGGATGTTTTTCATCAGTAGAAAGGGTGACACCTTTGGTCTCAAGGTTCTCAATTCAAAATGCATCCCTCATTTTAGAGAGGGACCAAGTTAATCAATCACAACACACACACACAGGGATTAGAGGGTGGATAACTTAGGTTGGGTTCGTCTTTTGTACGTAAAGAGGGGTGGATAAGCCACAACTTTCCCATGCAACATATGCAGACCGTCTGCATGACCACGTTCACTGTGTTTCTCTCTATTTCTTTTGAAACAGAGAGAGAAAGAGAGAGAGAGAGGAGGGGGAGGGGAGACGGGGGAAGAAAAGTATATTCTGAGTATGAGTAGACGGGAACGGGGGGGGGGGGGGGTTGAGGAAGGGGATGAGAGTATGTTCTTCTGTGTGTGTGTGCGTGTGAGAGAGAGAGAGAAAGAGAGAGAGGTTAGAGAGAGAAAGAGGGGGGATTAGAGAGATGGGGGGACTAGGGGGGAGTTAGAGAGAGAGATTTCTCCATTTGGCCCCCCACAATTAAAATCAAAGCTCAGCAGATGACAAAAACAGCCACTTAAAACGATAGCAGATCTATGATTTATACCGTCTAAGATGAGATTAACCTTTAATTAACCATAATCCTTGCAATAAACACCAAGTTATGAGACACAAATTCTCAGAATACAAAACAACAAACAACCACCCTAAACCCATGATTCAAAAGCACTCGAAACAAAAATTAGTCCAAATGAAACAACTAATAATCCAGACACATAGAGAGAGTTAGAGAGAAGAAACTAAAAAATAAAGAAAAATATAAGCGATTAATTGTTGATATACGAACCTTGAGCTTGAAAATTCATAGAGCTTGCCTGTGCTTGAAAAGATCACGAGACCCACATCAGCATCACAAAGAATGGCGAGCTCTTTCGCCTTCTTCAACAATCCATTCCTCCTCTTCGAGAAAGTCACCTGCCTGCTCGTCGAATTATCGATCCTCCTTATCACGATCTTTCCCCTCCCCATTTCCCCAATGCACTCTCTTTCTCTCTCTAAAAACCAACAAGATCTCTACCCAAACTCCCCACCAAAATCACTCAGAAAAAATTTGCAGTTTTACTTTTATTTCTCAGAGCGGTAATGAACTGAGCGGGGGTTTTATAAGGTGAGTTTGGAGAAGGCGGTTTACCGCTACGAAACCGCTATTTTCTAGCCTGAAAACCGCTGAGTGGTTCTCATATAACGGGTCCGTTATAAAAGGTGTGGGTTTCTGTCCGTGTATAACGTGCCGCCGTCTGGCTTATAGATCGCTGACGCGTGTGGTATACAAATACAGTATTTGGCTAATATTTTTTTTTGGGTATTTCGTTTTATTGGGGAGACAAGAGGTGAAAGAAAGTAAGGAGAGAGAAAACTATAAGAGGTAGAAACGGGGGAAATAATGAAAGTTTTTGGAGACGAGAGAGAAGAGAGAAGAAGAAAAGAAGACAGATGAGAGGGAAACTAAACTCATCTTTACATAAGTAGAGAGATGGGAGGAGAGAGAAAGAGAGACTCAGAAGCGTAACGTTTTTATCCTCCTCATTATTATTCGAGTCTTATTTCAATTATTTAAGATGAATTAAATGTTATTGTGATGATTAGAGTGTGAAGATCCTACGAGCTTTTCTTTTCAAGTAATTTCAAAAAAAAAATAAGTTTTAAACTATTTTAAAAACAAGGCAGGGGCATATCTTTCCCATTAAATTATCCAAAACAAATGATTCGTACTCACACCTAATATGAATATGTAACATAAATTCAAGATTCATAGCATGATTTGACAAAACAAATTTTTAAGTTGATTATGTTAAGGTTTTTAAAGGGGTATGTCAAGGTGTTCAAATTATGGTTTAATTTATCATTAAATAAAATTTAGATACTTATATATCATTGTTTTGTACATTGAAGGTTTATTAATAAATATATTTTTTATCATTAAAAAATATATTACGTTATCTACATGAAGTGACGTCACTTACATAAAGTATTAAATATCAGTAGTGTTTTTAATTCACGTGGATGATATTATACATCTTCTGATGATAAAAAAAATTTTTATTAAAAAATATTTATGTAAAAAATAAAATTATAAAAATATTTAAAATTTGTTAAATATAATGATGAATCACTCCAATACTTTTTAAAAACCACAAAAATAAACTATATAAAACTAAAAAAGTAGGAGAATAGAAAGATATTTTCAAGAGATGGGGGACAAAAATGAAGAGGAAAAAAGAAAAGAGAGGAAGAGAGAGAAAGTGTTGTGAAAGGCTGGGCGTACGGAGAGGGAATGTGAGTTCGGGGTGAGGTGGACAGTTGGAAGTGGGTAAGGAAGGGTGTGGGCGGGAGTTTCTAAAAGTAGCAAGTGAGGGGTATGCATGAAAGTTTGAAAGTTTGTTATTTTGGGGGGAGTGATTGGGACGGGCTGTCGTTTTAGGGTTTTCTCGGATGTGCCCTCCCTAATTTTGGATATTGCAAAAGTGTTTTGTCTTTTCACCAATTCAGAAAGTAAAAAGTGAAGATGGCTTTTTTTTAAAATTTAAATTTGTAGTTTTATGATTTGGAATTTTAGAGATGTATGATGTTACCACAAGGAAACGTCTATTCTCATTGAAAGAAACAGCGAGAAAAATATTAATTTCGTAAGCACGTCACAACATCTATCGTAAAAGAAAAAAAATTGAAAATTATCATCTCTCTCACAAAAACGGGTGCGGATCGCCAATTTTACTTCGCAGGGAAGAAAAAAAAAAAAAAAAAAAAAAAAAAAAAAAATGAATCGATAAAAAAATCCGCATAAAAACAGTGAACAAGCTAAGAACAAGTCTGGATCGGTGAAACGTCGGTTTTACTGTAGCAAATCGTCTGTTCTCTTTTAGACCCAAACGATTTCCTATATATTGATATAATCGGTACGGGGTAACCAATTCTCGGATTTGACCGAACAATTTCGTGCTAACTCGGCATTTTTATAAAAGTACACCTTGAAATATACAAAAAACCTATAAATTATTTATTTTGTTCATGACAACCGTGAATGAGAAAAAATGGATTTCAGGTCGTAGAAATGATTAATCATGTAACCTACACCGCTCATTTTAAATTTTCACAAATTTGCGTTATTTTTAGGGCACATTGAGTTCGTATGAAAATATTCTCACGTGAAAGACGTCTCTCATGTGATATTCTCACGTGAAAGACGTCTCTCATGTGATTACGTTTGCAAAAATTTTCACACTAATTAAAGGTGAAGTAGTGTGAAAAGATGCGCAGGCCTACTTGGCGTGAAAATACTCTTACGTATTCATGTGAAAATATTTCTTGGGGAATATTTAGCAAGAACCAAACATGCAATTTGGTGGAACAAATTTACACGTCATCATGAGTGCTTATGCAGTTTAAGTGCATTCTTATGTGGAGGTTTTGCGGTGTGAATTTACCAATATCGTAAAGTTGTGGCCTTCCAAAAACCACACACTTTCATAAAATTACTTAGAAACATTTTTTTCTTATTTCATATTTGAAAATTCTAATTTCTTGAAATATTTTTATGGAATTTTAATAATTTATTGAAGTTTAAAGTTTACTACAAAATACGTTAAAACTTTTTTTTTTAATTAAAATTCAAATATTTTTTAGTGTTTCTTTTGTTTAGCATTTGATACCTGAGTGTCAATAATCGATATGGGAATATTATCAGTGGAGGACGTTATTGGAAAACTTTTTGCTTTGTCTTTAGTTGTGAATTTTCTTGGATAATTGTTCAGTTTTAAGATATATGGTATTAAGAACATTATTTATTTTGAAATAAATTTTTATTCATAATTATGAATAAAAATTCATATTATAAAAAAGATAAATATATTAAAAATTTAAGAATTACAAAGCTGACAATATATATATATATATATATATATATATAACTTAAACTTAAACTATCAAAACTTGATGCAATATGGGTTTTTATTTTTAATTTTACAATTTTCTACTAAAATTTGGTTCAGGTTATATGGTATTTAATTTATTTAAGTAAGGAAATTTGTGTTTTTTCTAGTTGTAAAAAATCGAAGGTAGAGTTCAGAGTTTAATTTTAGATAGATGAATGGCTTGGATTTAATTGTGATTAGGATTTCTCATGGAACAAGTAAGGTTTTATATTTTATTTTATTTTATTACTTTTTGTAATTTTTTTAGTGTTGAAAAAGAAAAAGGAAACAAAAAGAATTGGTTCTGGTCTGGTGAAAAAATCCTTTAGGATAGACTCCCTTGCAGACTTCGAGAGAGGGTGAAATCTCTCTTTTTTTTTTTTTTGGACTCCATTGAGAGAGAGTATTTTTCAATTTCCCTTATTTTATATTTTCATTTTCTAGATTTGTTTATTATCTTTCCCTCGTCCATGCATCAATTAGTATTAGAGCTTCAGAAAATTTATCCATCCCCATGCCGCCAAACCCTATTGTTTCGATTGAGGTAATATTGCCATAAATTATAGCAATTATGGAAAAACAAATTAAAGAAGATATAAATCAAGCCATGGAAGGCATACAAGTATAGGTTGACAAAATTGAACGAGAGATTACCCAACTGTGAGAAAATATTGGTAAATCAATGGTTATGACGAATGGAAAATATTGGCAAGTTGATCATAATCTTGTAGATCTAGTACAAGGTCTCAATCTTTAGGATCAAATGGAGAAGAAACAACAAAGAGGTTAGTCAAAGATGCTGACAATAATCCAAAAGCTCTACAATTCGATAATCAATTATGAAAAGAAGATGTAATAGTTACGAATTGTGAAAAACAACCTTTTGAGCTTCAAGGATAAAATCAAGATTATGTTTGATATCTCATAATTCTATTACTATTTGCACATAGACTTTTTATTTAATTGACTTATTAAATTGGAAAAAGTACATAGGGAAATGGTGGGACTCCATCACCAACTATTGAAAAGATTTCAAAGGATATGATGAATTCAACAATCTTGAGGTTGAGCTTCTCTCAGCCCCAGGAAAATAATTTAATTAGGTTTTGTTTTATTATTATAATTGCATACTAAAATTAGGTTTAGGTTATATGGTATTTTATTTAGTTAAGTAAAGATATTTGTATATTTTTAAGCTTTAGAGAATTGAACAGTAGAATTTGAAGTTAATTTCAAATAGATGAAGGGCTAGAGTATAATGCGGATTAGAGCTTCTTGTGGAACAAGTTAGATTTTTGGTTTTCAATTTATTTATATTTTTTTAATATATAGGTATTGGAAAAAAAAAAAAACAGAGAAAAAGAGTTAATTTTGGGGCTTGTAAAAAGATTGTTTGGGTGGACTCCTTTGTAGACATTTGTAGACATGGAGACGGTTAAATCCCTCAGGCTTCATGTAGAGTTCCCTCAAACTTTGAGAGACAATATCACCCTTTTTTTGAATTTTTATTTTCTTGTTCAGTTCAATATTTTTCCCCTCCTTGCATCAAACTTATTGTCCAACTTAAAAGGTTTGTCATACATATCCCTTGTGAATTACTCCCTTTTGCCTTATTGATATTCTTAGAGTGATCTTTTAGTAAATGTAATGCTTCTTTTTAAATTCAAATTGCTAAATTTTCTTTCAGATTGCATACATGTTTGTATCGTGAAAGATTTACATTATGATAATAAGAAGATGCCTTACAATATTGTGATAAATTTATTTTAAATATTATCGGCAATATAATTATCTTGATAAAACAATTATAAACTCAATATATTCAAGACAATTGTTATTGTGTTCGACACTGGGATCTTTCAGGAGTTCCAATGTAAAATTCATAGTGAAACTATACTCAAATCAAACAAATGGTTGAATGGTTATCACAGGAATTTGGTGCATCAACTTCTCCTTTCTTGTTATTACGTTGATTATTAATATTAAATAATTTTCTAAAAACAATTGAGGATGTGCTTAGGAAGTGTTCAGAAAATGCATTGTAACATAGAGCTAAGAATATACTGGTGGTCAACATGGCACATTCTTAATGAGACATTGGGCTAGTGGTGCAATTAGATTGGTTAGGATGGTGGACTTAGTCGACCACTGTTATCGATAGGTTAAGACTTTGTTGGTAGGATTATAGGCAGCGAGACTTGATGTGACATAGGCATGAACCATGTGCGGAGGTGGTTGACCATTCACTTGGTTGG